AAATCCCTAAACCCCTAAACCCCTCCAGAGGTTGAATTCAGGGTTTACCTGGACCCTGGAGAACCTACCTTTTTAGGGCTCCTTATTATGATTTCTTTATATACGTCCTTAAAAAGGTCGGTTCTTTGGGGTTAAGGTAAACCCTAAACGCCTCCTCGTCGTGCGGGTCGAAGCGGCCCAGGGGGCCGGGGCGCGGATCCTGCGCTCGCCCCTGGCGCTTCAGCTCCTCCACGGCCTCGCGGATGAGGTCCTGCCAATCCGGCACCTCCGCGACCTGGTAGGCGGTCTGCGAGGGGTGAAAGATGCCAAGCAGCATGGTGCCCACGCGCATGTCGTACTCCGTCTCCAGGATGTAGCGGTACATGTTCAACTGCACCGCGTAGTGATAGAAGTTGGCATCGGCATAGGCCGCAAAGGGCCGGCGCATCTGGCGGAAGCCCCACCGCTTGATCGCCTTGCTGCGCTTCCAGTCCAGGATCGCGTAGCTTTCACCTCCCGGCTCCTCGCACAGAAGATCGGCCTGCCCGGCCAGGCTCAGCCCGCAGTGGAACATGGACAGCTCCGTGCGGAAGGGCCGCAGGCCTCGGGCCTGCATGACCTCGCGCTCGAAGGCGAGGAACTGCGCGAACTCCGGGGAGTGGGGCTCGGCGATGACGCACCCGTTGAGGTGCTGCTCGATGTGAAAGTGCATGAGGGTGCCCCGCGCCGACGGGGTGCGGTCCGACCACCGCGCCTTGATCTCCTCGCGGGTCATCCACTGCCCGTCGGCATGCTTGTACACATTGCCGCGCCCCGAGCGCGGGAGCCCGGCGCGGTCGGCTGCAAACCATTTGTCGATGCAGCCGTCGGCATCAAACTCCTCGTGAAACTCTTTGCCAAAGCCCGTCACGCTCCAGGGGGCGCGCACGGGCCGGTCCTCCTCTCCGGGGTTGGTGATCTCGTAGTAGTGGGCGTCCTCGTAGAACACGATGCGCGTGTCGCGCGGAAGCGGATGCTGCGCGGCCAGAGCCTCGGTCTTGTCCTCGGCCCGGGGCAGCCGGAAGGTCGCCAGGAAGGCGGCGTCGTCCGCCAAGGCCCAGTTCCCCACCACCGTCGCATCGATGACGCGCGGCCCCGGTGCTGCGGCCTAAACGCTAAACCAAAATCCTAAACCC